TGTTGATTCCTCACCTGTCACTGAGTATCAGTTTGGGATATCTAATAAATCCTTCTAAAATACCATAATAAATTGGTTCTGACAGTTAAAAATAAATATATGGGGGAGGACTGGATGGTACTCTGTTCTGAGTTCTGGCATATTGCATCTTCCATGTTAGTGGCACTAACATGGAAGTGGCTTAGGTTGGTAATGATGGAGAGCAGTGGGTATCTGCAGACACTTTGGGTTATCTTTCTGAAACAAGCAGGTAATTGCCAAATACTGCCTGATAAACATGTATCCGTACTGTAGGACCCAGTGTTGTAGTTGTTGGCATGACAGACTTATGGGCAGATTGAAGAAGTGGTTTAGGAACTGGATAGGTAGAGCATTGCTGCTTGACCGTGGACATGAAAACGTGTTGTAATACTGCTTGTACCAGTGTTAAGCTTGTTAGGCAAAGTTAACTCAAACTCTTTTGTAAGCACTACTTGCAATTTAAAAGGGACAGAGTAAAGAGGGAACTACAAAATGAAGGTATGGAAAATACTTTAAAAGAATAAATACTAACTATTCCCATCTGTATCACATTTTAGGAGCATGACTTCTAACCATGAACCTATCTCTAAGGTAAACCTTACATCAGTGGTAGGCACATACTTTGAGGGAAACATAGAAGGAGGGGATGGAAACTACGAGGTTATTCTTAGTATTCCTTAAGCGCATTCTGAACAATGAAGATACTCAGAGAGGCCTGTGGTGTGTAGAGGAAACAGGCGGGGTCATTCTGATGAGAAAAACAGGCTTGGGTGGGGTGAATGTCATTAAAGGACCTTAGTTTGCCAAACTAATAGCCTCAGAAAGGTAAGAAGGCTGACTTGATGATTTTGGGTAGTGCTAGCTCTCATTGCTTTCTATCAGCCTTTACGTTCATGAAATCCTTATACAGTTGTCCCTTGTTTTAGCAAATTGAATGCAAAAGCTGATGGATATGGCAGGTGATCGATTACTAGGCAATGGTGTAGAGTTTATTTTAACACAGAATGAAATTGCTGCAGTCCTCAAAACACCCAGTGCTTGTAAATCAGAAAGTACACTATCATGATAGTAAGAAAGTAAAACAGTCTTTGGATTGATGGCAGTTTGCCCTGAAGTAGTCTTTTATTTGTGGCATTATTTCTGGGATTGATAAAGGAGAGATTTTTCTCAGAACCTGTGAAGTATTGCAGTGTGAAGCTGCACCTTTGAGATGTTCTTAGGGTCTTTTAAAGTTATTTCTAATTGTTACCAGAGAAATAATAATCTCTTAATACATTCTGCAGCTCCTGGTGGTGTGTGTCGCTTGTACTCGGTGTTCTTTGAAACTTGTCATGTGGGGTTTTGTATTCTGAAGTAGCAGAATATGCTCTTTTAAAATGTCACTTTTGTCAAAGGAGGGCCAAGCAAACTATTAACTAAACCTAATGAGCTAATTAATTTCTTCCCAAAGCGTATTTGTGATACACTACTTAACTAGGTAGGCTGAAAGTGCATTGCAGGACATATGCTGGATTTTTTCCCCAGACTACAAGTAGTCTCCACATTCACAAGAAATAACTTAAATGTAACCTAATTAATCATAATATTTGACCTTTTTAGTTAAATACTGTATTAATACAAATCACATATTTTTGTATTAACTGATATTTTAATATTTCAGGGGCTTGACTAGAAGAGATACCAGTTTAAAATGGACTTTGCTTTTTGAGGCAGTCAAAGCATTTGGAGTATGAATTGTCATTTATTCTATCCTGTTGGTATAAATACTTACACTGATTTGTAACATTTGATGACATATTTGGTATTTTTAACACCATGTGTAGGTTAGTTTTTAAAAGCATTTTAATACAGTGAGATACCCAAAGTCTTCTTGTGGTATTTCTTCTAGCCTGTGTGCAGGTGAAGACCTTCAGTAACCACAAATGATTCTAGCTTCTCTTCCTAGGGCAGCAGTGATGCTGAGGACCTAGTGGGGCAGGAACCAAAAAGGAATTGTTTCAAGACAGATCCTATGTTCTGTTGCATCTCAGCTGCTTCATTTGTGGGGCTGGACAAGTGATTTATGTCCTTCATTGCTAGGATTCTTGATACTGCTTTTGGAATGGTTACGCTTACATGGTACCAGCATCTTCCTTGGATGGCTGTAGATCAATTCAGAGGTGAAAGATGATGAAAGTGTGTAATATTCAGGCATTCAGTCTTGTGGGTGAAACACCTGAGATCACTTGTCATGATGATCTGTTCTGAGAAAACAGTATTTTTCTCCAGTTGGAGTATTTTGCTCCACTCTATATGATCATATGCCAGCATCTCCAACTTCCGTGCCACGTAGACCTTCCCTCTGCATTCAAATCAGGTATATTTCTGCAGTTCCTGCACAGTTTTCTCTCTTAATGTATAAATTCTTACAATAACAAAAACTTACCTGCCTCTCAAATTGCTAACTGCCACACTGCTCAAGGCAGTGGGATGTACCTGTTTTCCTTTTACTTCCTCTTTCTCTGTCCTTCCACTGAAAACATGCTAGAGACAGTTCTCATGCCTCACTGGAAGGTTGCTCTTTGAGGAGTCTACTGTGACAGTTACTTCACGTTGTTCATGGAACCCCTGAAGTGACATGGTTTTCAGCCTGTGTGAGATTTTGTTGATATTTTGACAGTTCCAAGGGTTTATCACATCTCCTGTGGTTATCAGCCTCCTGTCTGAGGAGAGCTGCCTCTCTGCACTGTCTGGGCTGCTTTATAGCTGGGGGAGAGGAGATGGCTCAGTGTACAAAGTAGCATCAGTGCAGAGATGTGGGGTTTCTTCCTTCTAATTTATCCTAGTGGTTTTTTTTTTTTCCAGTTCCCCATTTCCTCTGTACTTTGTTTTCTGTGAATACAAAGTGGGGTTAAACTCTCAGCAGTAATACTGAAGGCTACCTGTAAAACTTAAACTGAGAGTACATGTGAGTCATGTAGTGATTGTGAAAGCCATTAATACAGTACGTGCTGGAAAGAGATGATAATAGTGTGTTGGGCTGTTGAGTCATTAAAAAGCTATGTCTGGTGTTTTAACTTCCATAGGTTTGGCATGCAGTGGCAAAGGTGTGCAGCTACTGTGAGCTTTGCTGGCTACTACTCTGTGAGTTGGTGGGGAATTGCTCAAGTGTTTCAGTTTCTGATCAGTGCACCTTTCAACCTCAAGCACAGGATTCAGAAGCAGGATACAGATTAGCCCACCTTGTGTGATTTCTAGGAGGTTTGGATATTGGATAGAGCAGATCATCACACATTATACTCAGTCTGGTGAGACTCACAGGGCAGATCCTAGTGGTAGAGCCAGAGATACTCACTTGTGTAACTTACTTGGGTCCATTCTGCAAGTCAGTGTAAGGTCTCTTGTGATCTCCTTCATCTAATTGTATAACCATGTTCCTTCCTCCCCCAGCCAGTTCTCACACCCACCTTTAGTTAGCAGGTTTACTACTTGGCTAGTCATAAGGGGGGGGTTATTTTGGTGTTGGTGTTAAGTGCTTGGGTTTGGAGAGAACATGTGATATTTGTTATGTTTTTAATTGGGATAAATGATCTGTTAACTATCCCTGCCAATATGCTGTTGTGTTTTGGATGCTATATTGTGTTAAGTATTGGAACCCCTGCACTGTTACATATTTGGGTTCTTCTGACATACTGTGAATCAAATATAAATTTCTCCTACCCTCTTTCTGTTACCTCAAATTTGGCAGCAGGCAGTGGTTCTGCAAAACCTGACGTCAGTATTTCATAGTTTAAAGTTGTATTTTTCACAGTTGTGCAGATGTTGCTTGTTTGCAATCCATGTTAAACACTCTCATTTGATTCTAAAGTCAAAGATAAAATATCTGTACAAGGCAACATTTGAAGCAGATAAGTAAAGAGAGGAATGTACTGAATCTTGTTCCAAAGCCATTGGACCTCAGGATGGGGGTTGGTGTTTTTAGTTGTTGGGGTTGTTTTCCCCTCATAGGAGGTTACCTCAGCTCATCCACATTTTGTGAAGGATAAACCCTCATTATAGCCTGTATAATTTTGGCAGCAAGCAGTTTGTTTCAGTAATCAAGTATCCACTGTTTGCTAATGTCTTTTTAAAGCAGGATGGGAACATTTTATACAAATCATAAGAATTTTCTTGGGTATCAGTGATCTTTTGTAGTCGTCTAACCAAAAAAGAAAACTTGCATATTACATGGTGTGCCACAGATGTGCTGGAGTAATCTGCCAAGCATATTGCCAAACTTGTGCAGGTGGCTTTTGGCATATTATGGCTTGAGTTAATATATATGATTTAACAAATTATCACTGCCAGCTTCAGCAACTTCTGTTTAAATACCCAGTCCTCTTTCAGTAGTTTGCACAGTCCAGATTCCAGCAGTTGGATCTTAGTCTCTGGTTCAGCAACAAGTAGTTTAATTTCTTGGCAGAGTTATGCGAAATGCTGTGCTTTTGCAAGACTCATCTTGGCATATTCCCAGAAGGGAATGGGCTCAGAGGTCAACACAGGATTCATTTCAGAAACAGCAAGAAAAACCCCATTTCAGCTGGTTATTTAGTTATTTTTAAGTGATGCATCGGTAAATAAGAAAGCATTACCACCTGGAAAGAAAGAATGTGTGTTTATAATATATATACACACACACACATATATATATAATATATGTATTTCAGGCTTTGAAATGTGTACCTCAAAGCCATTAGCTGAATACTAAGTGTGCCATGCAGATTTTAAGGAGTGCTGAAGTCAGGTGCTGCAGTTAATTGTAACATGGCAAACAGTTCGTATGCCGAAGGTTATTTTTGTAAGTGTAATGGCTGTGGTGCTTGTTTTATTACCTGCAACCATAGAGAGGCTCTTTGAGAAGCTGATGGTAGTTTTCTAGGAAAACTGCCTCCTTTTTGTGTGTACATGGATTTGTCAAGCTCTGTTGAAGACATAAAGCAGTTTTGAGTATCAGCTAACAAAAAGGTGATGGTCAGCTTCAGAATTAAAGAGGAAATTTATTATTCAGTTCACCATTTACACTTACCATGTAACTCATGTTGCCTGCACTGTGTATGCTAAAATGCTAACTTAAAGTGCTTTGGTGTGTTTTTCCCTTCCCTGTGGTTAATGTCAATTGAATTTCATGCTGTTCTGCCATAGATGCAGAAATCCTTGTGGTTTATTACTGAGAATGTTAATTCTGTTCTTACCCAAATGTTAAAGTATTTAAAACAAGCCTCAACATACAAGGGTTCCATGAAAGCCCTGCTCTTTTATAGTGATCTCCTTGCTAGGTATTTTAGAGACTGGGACTGACTGCTCCCTTTTCAAGGTAAACATTGACAGGGAAGAACAAGTGGAAAGAAAGAAAAACAAAGATACTTGTCTTTGTGGGAAAAGAGGAAGTGGTGCTATGTTCACTGTCGCTTACTGAAATAGCTGTTCAGCAAGAGGGAGAAAAGTGAGTATGTTGATCAATAGAAATGGAGTAAGATCTGAAGAGAACAAATAGTTCTCATGAAAAGTATCTGTGGAGTGTATTTGGCTACAGCTTCCCTTTGGAAGAAGCCAGCTAGGATAGTTGCACCAGGTCTGCAATTAAAAGTGATTGACAGTGAGAGAGTTAACCAATCTAAAAGTCAATCTGAAGTTTCATCATTCAGAACTCGTTTTGAGTGATGAAACGGCACGTGGAGCAGAACACAGCTCTCATAACCATAATTTCAGATTTTCTGGAGGTTCAAGGAAGGCCGTTCCCCATCAGCTTATGTGCCTCTCATCCTTGGAAGGTTTCCTTCACGGCTAAAAGGGCTCTTTCTAATGCCTAAGCCACTCCTTCGTGCTGGAGTCCTGCCAGAGGAGGTGGCACACAGCGTGAGGGCAGGCCATGGGCATGCAGGGTTTGGCATGTAGCCCAAAGCTGAGTGCAGAAGAATGAAGCTGCAACCTGTTTAGGAGCTGGGGAGGTGGAAGAAGCCTGAATTGGAGTAGAAAAGGGCAGGATTTCTGCTGTTGTGGAGGAGAGTTGAGAATGTCAGAGCTCTGTGTTGAAGAGTGGGGTTAGAAGTAGTTTAATTTCAAAAGCCAGCCACATGCAGATTAATTATAAGCACTTGCTAATTTGTTTTTTGGGGGAGAACGATGAGTTCGCATGAACTCTGTAGATTATTCTAAGAGCTGCAAGCCTCAGACGAATACCATGGTGCTTTTGGATTCCAGGGAGAAATATTCTGAGAAGCTTATAAAACCATGTTGAGTATTGAACTGTTACAAAGAAAAAAGTTTGGGTTGCTTTTTGCCTGTTTTGTTTTCCTAGTTTTTCCCTTCATGGAAGGACATAGTTTCAAGTTGCACAGACTGTACTCTCTCATCTCGCCACCCGACTCTCCAACAACTGCTGCATTTGGAAGAGAGAAGATTTGCGCATGGTCTCTCTTCCTCTGCAAAACAGCTATGAAGGTCAGATAGGAAATCTCATCAGTGACCATGACTTCCATGGCTTCATTTGCCAGGATACCACTGCTCCCAGCACAGAGCTGTGCAGCACCCGGCAGCAGCACAGCAGCTTTGGCACGGCTGGCTCAGCACAGCTAGAATTAAGTGGTTTGCAGTCTGGGTGTGTGTGTGTCCGAGGAGGGGAAAGAGAGGACGCGGGGGAATAGCTAAAAAGGGAAATGTAAAACAAAGAACTTAAGTAAAAGACATATAAAAAAAGATGAAGACAGTAAGGGAGAAACTAAATAAGGAAGGTAGGAGAAAATGACCTTGCAGAATGAAGTAGATACGGTGCTAATTTTGTGACTCTGTATAGCAGGGGTGGGGGGGAAGTGAAAGAAAGGAGACGTTAAAGAGGGCAAAACAAACACAAGGGTTTTTTTCCACTAGTTTTTCCTCTCTGTGTTTTGGCAGCAGTGCTGTTAGTGTGGTTTGTGTAACATCCTGGCATTCTTGGATTTTGCATGTTTTGGTGGGGAGAACAACAGTGTGTCCTACTTGAGATGCCTCTCCTGGCTTTACTAGGCACTCACCATAAAGAAAAGAGATGGTTATATGCATGCATATGCACTTATTAATAAGTCATCTTACTTTTTGTTTTACTTATGTACATTCCTTCTACTGTCTTTTGCTTAAGTTTACTTTTAAATTCTCATTTTCTGTGCTCTAAATGTTATCTTTCTTGGAAAGTAGGATGTATGTGTAGCTTTCAGCGGTGTTTGCAGTGAGGGGAATGCCCACCAGTTCCCTACAAGTAGAAAATGAGGTACTGTACTAGCTGGAGGAAAGTTACCCAGGCTGGACCTACATAAAAGCAGTGTTTTGTAGGAGCTTCTTCATCTGCTGCCTCAGGAAAAGTAGGCAGCATTCTGAAAGCTGTATTGTCACCTACAGCAATAGAGCACCAAAGGGTAACCAGGCAGGAAGGTGAGTGTTGCATTTTGGGGAAGAACTTGAGACATTATTCTTGGCAAATGAAAGAAATCAATAGCATTTTGGTTTTAGGCATGGCTGCAAGGTAGCTGCTACCTAGTTTATATAGGCATTATGTCAAGTAATTTTCACCTGTTGTTTACTCATTTTTAGTAACCAGTTTGCAGGCTTTTTAAAACCAAACTTGCTGGTATTGACATGATACTGCTTGCTTTGTTCTTCTTCCAGGCAATATAATACATTTAAAATCTAACATACAATACACGTACAGCCTAGAAACTTTTTTAGGTATTCCCAGAAGAGGGAGTGTGTAACACTTTGTATACACTGAAACCTGCACGTTTATTGACGAATAGCAGTCAATAATCTGTTTTACCTAATAAGTTAAAATGATAATTGCAGGCTGAAATTCAGAAGAGCACACCTAATGCCATTTTTTTAAGCTAGTCATTAGGCTTAATTCAGATTAACACTAATTAATTACATCAAAGTAATGTAAATGGCCTTGAAGTCAATTCAGATTCCTAAATGTCATGTCTACCTGTAACAAACAGCTTTTCAATAGCAGTCTTGGATTAGCTATTGCAGTACTCAGCTTTGTACAAGCTCCGTAACAGTGTGAAATTTGAAAACACAGATAAACTACTTTTTATAGTGTAGAAAATAACAAGCAGAAATAGATAAATATAAGGTGAAATTTCATTTAAGTCCATGAAACTATAATTAACTAAATAGACCATCATTAGCTATCTTGGGCAGTAACAGCCAAAATACTTCCAAACCCTATTATCTACTATTGATGAAATGAAAACATAATAGTGCTTGTATAGAAAATCAGTATTTTTACTCTATAATTTATGTAGATGTTCCTCCAGTTGTCATGCAACAGGGGCAACAGGCTAATCCTTTGAATAACAGCAAAATGATGTAGGAGAAAAAGCCATCAGTGTGGCTTAACATGCAGATTCCTGATAAACGTCACCTGTTCTGCTGCTAATACAAGTTCTGTAGTGTCTGAGAGTGCTGCTGAACACAAAGACTGCAATTGCATTTTGTTTCCACAGGTTGGACAGCCATCACCAAGTGATTCTTGTCCTCTTTTCTGTTCTCTGTTCACCTGAGAACAAATTGCCCATGTTGGTGTGAAACTCTCACTCTTTACCCTGCTTTGTAAAGGATGCAATTAGACCAGGCTCCTGGAGAGTTGAAGCTGTTCCTACACAACTGATTTTTTTTCTTTGTTGTTTGGCAAGTTGGTCAGAAAATCTTTAACTCACAATTCTATATAGAGTAGCTTTTGAAAGGAAGCCTCCTCTTCTAGCCAGGTCACCTCCTTATGTTTTTACCCCATAGGATTTTCTTCCTCTGCCAGGCACAGTTGTATTGTGCTATGTGTCCTCTATGTGTGACCGTGCCAGTTGCAAAGAACCTGTTTGTCATGTCTTGTGGTTGGAAAAAGCCCTAGTATCTGGGTTGCAGGTAATTCTGTGCATTAGGTAGAAGGTGTATGTACTTTTTTCAGTGTGCCCTTCCACCTTTGAGCCTGAAAACTTGTTTGTGGGTTATTTGTAGAGTTGGATTTGAGCAGAAGTTTTGTGTGATATACTTTGATAGTTTTAAGAGCTGTTCATCATTGTCTGTAGATATTCATGTGGAATTCATGGCTCCTCTCCTTGCTAAGAGGAAAATTGGCTGCATCTGCTTTGCTACTATGTGGCTGAAGTCTTCCTTTGAGTTCACAGGCTAAGCATTTTGGTGTTCTGCTGTGTCAGTGTGGTCTTAGTGAAGTAATTGTTTAATCTCTCTCACTTTTCTGGATCATAATGAGAAACCTTATAGTACTCTTTAAGTCTCTGGCCATTCTCATCATTGGCATGGGACTAGCAAGCGCTCGCTTTCTTCAGTTTCATTTTGGCTTACAGCCTGTGACGAACCACATGTAACCATGTATGTGCCTGGAAGCATGCCACGTGGGCCCTCTCCTGGCCTCTAAGGTCTAAGGAGAGGTTTCTAAACTGCCACAGTTCGCTCCCCTCCCCTTGTAGTGCCCTGTACTCTGCCCAAAGGTCATCATGTGGGTCACAAAGCTATCCACCAGCCAGCTTCTAAAAATACCTCTGATTTAGAGATTATATAAACTTATATATGTGAGTAGTATTGCAAAGCTTGATGCTTGCATCTTGCTCTTTGCAGAATGAGAGTGACAGCTAGTGTTACTTGTATTTCATGGTGGCCAGTTCCTGTCTTAGCTCAGCTCTCCATAGGCTCAGTCAGTGTTTAGAACAAGGGTGGTTGCTGACCTTTAGGACCACACTCATCACATTTTTCTGTGCTCACAAGAACATACCGAGGGAGGATGAAGGCTTGGCATATAGTTAGGATGTGCTGAAAGCCCATATTAGCTCCTGGACTGCTTGCTGTTTCCTCTGCCCTGTCCCAGTTGTCTAGGTGGCAGTGGTCCACAATAGCTGTGGTTGGACACTTGAAATCTAACGTACTAAATGTCTTTTCCTGGTTTCATTCCCTGAAAATAGCATAAGTCTCTATAGAAGCCTTCCCTCTCTGTGTGCACACGTGCTATATGCGTAGCAGTTATTTATCATATTTCTGGTATAAACAAGCACATTGTGTAAGTGGAGTTGATACTGAGGCATAAAACGCTGTCACTTGGCTGTGCACCAACAAGCCTGACAAGTTGTTCCTCTGTACTTGTTTGAATTTGGACTCGCTTCACTTCTCTAAAACCTGAGGAACTTCCAAGCATGCCCACTTGGAAAAGAAAAGGAAACACCAAAATCAGAAATCTTGCCTGATATATTTGTGTTTTCTGTAGCATGTAACATGCTCTCCAAAGTGGGAGCTGCTGGAGAGAAAAATCCACTGATTGCAAAATCCATTGTCCCATGCTTCTGGAGGTTCTGGGTATTTCATTCATGATGGTACTTTGGAGCACTTGTTTCCAGCTTTGGGGAAAGGAGGAAAGGCATACAAGGCCTTACAATCAAGTTTGTAGTGCTACTTACTGTATGATTTTGCTGTTCCTTTCACTAAGGCTGGTTTCGTGGTGTCACGTAGCACATGGTGGAGTTCTTTCTGTGCAGCCACTATATCAGCCAAGTAATTTTTCTAACTAACTACACTGGAGTTCTCAGTTGATCAACTTTAAGAAGTTTGGTGTTGGCTCATGGCCCATCATTCTCTTCCTTCCAGGAAGAATAATAATAGTAGCCAGTAACCAAACAATCTCTTTAAAACAAAATATTTACAACAAAATTGTTTTAGGCAGTACTAGATGTAAACATAAGCAAGCTGCAGTGTAAGCAAGCCCAGCTTATGCAGTGTTGATATCAAGCAGATGAAATTCCATGGGAGTCTGAACTTTTTTGTCATGTACCCTCCAAAACTTCCAGGAACTGGCAAAGTAATGACGACTGCAGCTCACAACCCAGTTTTTTGCCCTCCCCAGTTGCTTAGGCCTCCAGCCCATTCCCTGGGATCAAGTCACACTTTAATCCTTGCTTCTCCTAGCTCTGTTAGTTGGTTTTATGAGACTGTCAGGTCTGTGAGCTGATGGGTTTGCTCTTTGTTAGGGAGCAAGCAGATGGTGGGAAGGCTTGAAGGGAGCAGTTGGGATTGGGGGAGAGGGCAGGGACCTGCTGTGGCAGTATTAGCTCGCACCAGCGAGCTTAAAGTGATTGTGCAACTGGTGCCTGAGATTGCTGAATTTTGGGAAAGGATAAATGAGTTGTTTCATGTGCACTGCAGATAATGAAGCCTGGTCGTCTGTGGTTTTCTCCTGTGTGTTTTGCCATTGCGCACCCTCCTGTTGCAACACCTCCTGCCCTGTGTACATAGATAGCTTTATGTCTTGTGTCGTGTTTTGTTCCTGGCTCTCTTCCTGCCCCCTTGGTTTGGTTTAGGGTTTTTGGTTGGGTTTTGTTTCTTTGGCTGCCAGATTAATCAGACATATCATGGCACAGCTAAGCTGGAGTGTGCATATGATGACTGACCAGTGAAGATCTTCCTTCTAT